ATGTTACATCTGCCTCATGTGCAACATGATGGCTCTGCTGGCCTGGATGGCATCTGGCTCCAACACCACTTAGCTGTGACTTTAGACAATTTACTTAAATTCTTTGGGTATCAGGCATCTCATCTATAAAACAGGTAGTACTAAATAAATGTTCATCGCTATTTTTAACCTAAAATTGTCTCCTCCTATGTGTTTCCTATGAAACCAAGGACTCAGACTGAACCTCCTCTTTCCTCTCACCCTAAATGCAATTAATCCAAAAGCCTGTATAAATATACTTTCTCTTCTTCTTCCCTTCCTGCTGCCAATGTCATTAGTTCTGAGACTTCTCTTTAAAAAAAAAAAAATTATTTAGTTAGTTAGATATGGCTGCATTCTGTCTTAGAGGCAGCACTTGGGATCTTTGACGTGGCTTGAGCACTTAGTTGCTCACAGTGTTGCCTCTCATTACTAATTATGATTGCTGTGGGATCCTAGTTCCCCAACCAGGGATCGAACCTGTGCCCCCTGCATTGAAAGGCAGATTCTTAGCTACTGGACCAGTAGGGGTGTCCCTGTGAGACTTCTCTTACCTGGACTTTGCAGTAGCCTCCCAGTTGGTCTCTTGTCTCCTAGTCATTGTGTTCATCCATCACACAACTGCTAGAATCATCATCTTAAAATGTAGTTCAAGTAAGTCAACTCCCCATCTCAAAAATCTGCAGTGCCTTCCAAAATTAATTAAGCATATCTCCTAGGCCGGTTAGCATGATGGGTTCTGGTACTACAAATATAAATAAAACATAAAATCCTTCCCAGAACTACTGGTGAACAGGGAGGACAAAGGTCCCGTAGAAGGATAAAATTTCCCTGCCCCCATTTCCAAAATCTTTACAGTCCTTTGAGGAAAGAGATTCTACCATCACTTAATTACACAGGCAGTCAATAGAGTTCTTCTCTTGTCAGAACTGTACTGCTATTTCTTTTTTTTTTATATTCCCACAAGAACTGGATATTAATATTTCCCTGGGCCAGGATAACTCTTGATTCTTAAATAAGATAAGTGTCCAGTCCAGGGCCTGGCACATGGTAGACACAATAAATGGTAATTTTCTTCTGGGTGAAGTAGGACTGTGTGTTGTTGGTTTAACAGCAATAACCATCCACTATTAAGCTCTGAGGCTAATGCAGGATTCGCAAGTTTGATCCCTGAGTTAGGAAGACCCCCCGGAGAAGAAAACAGCAACCCACTCTAGTATTCTTGCTTGGGAAATTCCCAGGGACAGAAGAGTGGACAGAAGAGCCTGGTGGGCGACAGTGCATGGGGTCACAAAAGAGTGGGACACGACTTAGTGACTGATTACACAAAAACACTAAACTCTGAATGTCTGTTTTCCCCTGAACCCTCAAGAAGTAAATGAGGGGCTTCCCTGGTGGCACAGTCGATAAGAGTCTGCCTGCCAATGCAGGGGACATGGATTCAATTATGGATCTTCCCTGGTCTAGGAAGATCCCACATGCTAAAAGGCAACTGAGCCCATGCGCCAGTAACTACTGAACTCTGCATGCCTAGAGCCTGTGCTTGCAACATGAGAAACCAACTCAATAAGAAGCCCATTCACCACAACAAAGAGTAGCAACCTCCTTCCCCATAGCCAGTAAAGAAAGCTGGCACAGCACCGAAGACTCAGCACAACTAAAAATAAATAAATAAATGAAAATATTAACGATATTAAAGAAAGAATAAAATTTGATTGAGCACAGTAATGGATGGCTGTGACCAATTAAAAAGAAAAATAGAAGGACATGAGTAATGGCCAAATAACTGTTCCTCTCAGGCAGAGAAGGAAAAAAAGGGGAAATAAAATCACTACTGTTGTGCAGTAGGATGATAAATGCCAAAACATTTTGAGATGCCCAACCAGAATGACACAGCATTTCCCTACTTTTTTTTTTTTAATTTTATTTTTTTTTCATTTCCCTACTTTTTATCTTGCTATAAGGTCCAAAGGAAATAGGGTAGTGGGGGCTGTGGGCAGAAAGGGGAACACAGTACTCTGGGTTCTGTTTTTTCCTCCCCCTGGGCTTGCCCTAGGTAAACTGGGCTAGCCAGGAGTGCTGTTTGTTCCACCTGAGGTCCTCACTCCAGCCCTAGACCTTCCTTTGTTCTATTTTCGCGGGCTTTTCCCTTCCTTGTCCTTTAGCCACCGCCATTCTGGCCTCCTGTTTCCTATTCTAACTACCTAACATATGTATCCAACATTCTTTATTTTATATGCAGTGCTACGTTGTGACTTGAGGACGCAGAGATGGTTGTGACCAAGGAGGCTACTGTTTGGGCAGAAAGGATGGAATGAATTGAGAATCAGTCAAAGTCAGAAGGTAATGCTTCAGCTGACACGTTTTCTGCAGGCCAAATAGGAGAGAACAGGTTCTGCACGTTCGAACAAAAGCCCGAGGTTTCAAACAGTTACTCTCTGTCCTAGGTGTTACAACAGAGGAGCAAGAAGAGTTACACTAATAACAACAGCTAACACTTTTTTTTTTTTAAACAGCTAACACTTTTAATGTGTGAGAATTGCTAAATAAGCTAGAGATGATCTCAACAAAGAATTCATGGTATTCCCATTTTACAGGCGAGAAAAGTAAGGCTAATTGACTAAGACTCTTGCCTGAATGCCACACATACAAGAGTTTTAACCCAGGAAGACAGAGTCCCAGTTTCTATGAACCACAAATCAGAGAGGTGAATGAATGAGTTCAGATTTCAGAAAATTTCCTCCAGCCGCAGTGGAGTAGATGGGATAGGAACTCCTGCAGGGGAGCTGGAATGCAACAACACTGTTCTAAGGAAGAACAAGGGAGGCTGTCTAAATAATGAGGGTTACGAGGATCAGCACTAGAGCAGAGGCTGCGGAAATAGGGGCGGAATATTTCAGAACTACTTGAAGAGATCGTTCTCTTCAGGGTTTGGTTAGACGTAGTCTTCCGTGAGCAGCAGCGAGGGCCCGCACCCTGGTTTGGGCCTTACGAACGAGGAGGAGGCGTTCGTGTTCTGAAATGATTTAAAGAACGCCTCAAACTCCGACCTCAACCATCGGCGGCGGGGAGGGGGATTGGTACTCTCAGGGCGGGAGCCCGCCCCCAGTGAGGGAAAGCGCTGAGTCATCCTGGCGGGGCACGTTGGGTCGGGGCGGTGCTCTGGCCATATCCCCCTCCCCATTCCTCCGCCCGCACCCCCGGCCCGCCCTGACTCTCGCGAGAGCCCTACAGGCTATAAAGGCAGCGTCCCGCGCACGCCTCGCGTGTCTTCTTCCTCGCTGGCGTCGGTCGTCTTTCTGTTGAATTGGTGAGTATGAGGGCAGCGCCCCACGCCCCGCCCGGCATCTTTTCCGTCTTCTCCTCGGGGTCCGCCGAACTCAGCTGGGCTCCTCGGACAAAGAAGGCGGCCAGGCGAAGCGACCCTCGTGTGGGGCTCCTTTGGGTGCGGGGACGAGGTTGAAACCAGAGGCTAACGGCAGCTTGAGTCTCCCCTACCCCCAGCAACACAAGCAGAAAGCGCTGATTGGCTTGGCGTGGCGTCTGGGTGGGTTGGTGTTGATGGAGTCCCCTGACGGGCGGGTAAGGGAAATCTCTCGAGTGAATCTGCAAACTGATCAGGAACTGAGGGCTAGCCGTCGGTCGTGTAGTAGAGGGAGAGGCTGTTCCCGGTCTTCAGGTGTGGAAAGTTACTAAGATTCCGTTCTTCGTCTTTATTTTTCCATCTGCAGAATGGGGTTTGTAGTGATTCTAAATGCCCTCGGTGAAGACTGAGCACTCTTCTGCTGGAGCTTTCTGAGGTGCTAGGCTGGGGCTAATGATGGCAGTGCAGGGAGGGTACCAGAAGTGGGTTTCGGGGGAGTGGCTTTCACCAAGCACGTTCAAGGGGCGAGTTCCTGAAGGGGACACACCCGGTGGAAATCCAGCAGCCTCCCCGCCCCCGCTCTTGGTCGTGCTTTAGTGGACGTGGGGATCCCTTGGAAAAGCAGGTTTGAATAAGGAGGACATGTATATTAGGGTCACCTCCTGTGTTTGGTTGGGTTTTTTGGTTTGCTATTAAAGGTGTTAAGCGGTTAAAAAAAAATGGTCACAGTCTCTGTTCAATCTTTTTTATGGTTGTAGTATTATGAACCAAGAATTTTGGGACTTGAAAAGTTAGCTTCTTGGGATTATCAAACTGATTATTTACTGGGTTAAATCTTACCTTGGTCTTGACCAGGGTGAATCCAGTGTACATTGCTTTTTGGCAATAAATTGACTCTTGTTCTACTTACCATTTTTCCAGGACCTTGGTGCCTAGGTAAACTCACTTTTGAAAGGACTTCTGGGCTTTAAACACAACACTTAGAATTTTGAAATTGAGCAGATGCCATAATCTTGGTCTTGGCTTCTTAAAAAGTTGGATTGGCTTTAGGGTGTGTGTCTTGGGAAATCTACCCAGAGAAAGATTAAAGTGTGCTTCCCACGTTCTGAAGGCAGATGGAGGCGCAGTCCAGGGAAAGGGCATCATGGCAGCTTCTGGGGCTTGGGTGCTCAGTGTTTATGGCATTGCACGTTTGGGTCCAGGTTTGAGAGTTTCCACCCTCTTCTCTCTGTGTACACTTGTATAATAAACGTACACAAGAAAATGCAATTGTACAGATGGTGGTTCAGGAACAGGAAGAGTTTGGTTTATAAAGAAATTTCCATTTTAAAGTGAAAACAACATTGTAAATAAACTATATTCCAATAAAAAATTTAAAATTTCAAATGCACAATCCCTCCACTCAAATGAAAATGGAGCTGAGATTCAGAGATGTGTAATATTTTTGTTTGAAGAGTTGGAAAGCTCAGTTTATGCTTCTTACTGTTATAAAAGTGTATACTCAAGACCACTGCACAGTTTCTACAGGTGAGTCTCTTAAATAGATGAACGTTGTTATCTAGAAAAGTAAGACTTGTTTCTAATTCATTTTCTCTTATTTTTTCCAGCTGATACCACTATGTCTTCAGGAAATGCCAAAATTGGGCACCGTGCCCCCCAGTTCAAAGCAACAGCTGTTATGCCAGATGGGCAGTTCAAGGATATCAGCCTAGCTGACTACAAAGGTAAGAGTAATTAGGTTCATTAATATGGAATTATATTATAATCTAGGGAGGGCTTTTTCACTGTCAGTATCTCTTGTCATGTTTGAGTGTAAAATGATTTTTACATTTCATTTGTCTTTAGGATAAGAGGCTGTTGCCTTCCTATTGAATTGAAGTGGTGATTACCATCTGTGAACATAGGGTAGATCTCCCAAGTCCAAACTACTTCTGGATAAGGCATGTGCATACTTCATTATATCTGGACATAATATCTCAATTATCTTCCCAATATTGCTCCTCAGTTATTTTACTGGAGATACACTTATTATCTTGTTTCACTTTAAAGCCTTGGACAATTTAAAGCTTCAGAACTCAAGTTTTTGGAGCTGTGAAACTGTTCAGTTTACAAAATGTGTGTCACGGTTGAGGGTTTAGGCATGTTCCCTTGACATTTTACCCCCAGAGAAAAATTGATGTCACAATTGGAACAACTCTCCTTTCTGTTAAGTAGTTTCATGTAGACACCAGGCAAATACTAATGAGGATTTTTTTTTTACTTTACTGCCCTAGAATAGCAAGGTATTCTGGGACAGTTCAAAATATGGATTTCCTAGAATGCAAACCTAAGAACTCAGGCGTCAAGTATACCTTTCTTGGTGATATAGCATTTCATAGAGTTAGCTTTTGGGTAAAACCTATGACTAGATTTCCTAACAAATTATACGTACTGGTTGGAATGAGAGCAGATAAGTGGGGCCCTATGGAGGAAAGCTCCCCCTGGCAAACAAAGTAAGTAGCCACCGTAGGGAGGTGACCCTGGCCCAAGGGTAAAGGCATGAGGTTTAGGAAGAGTTGCTCTGTGCCCTCCTGGGCTTGACCTGCTGAAGCTTGTTAGCAAAACCCTGGGGGAAGGTTGAAGTGAATGTCAAAAGGACCAGCTTATTTTGATTTTGAAACATTGCTGGTATCTGGAACTGTGAATATTTGGAATTGTTGGTGAGAGACTGCTTTACAGGTTGAAGATCTACTTCAATTGGTAATCAGAATGACTTTCATAAAATTCCAACTAGAAATCCTATTACCTACCAGGAGAATTTTGGGAACTTTTGTCTTAGAAATTTTTTCTTTGCATGTGCCTCCTATCAGACTTATTTGAACCATGTTTGTGGTGATTTAGGTGGTCACTTAGACCTTACCTATCATGTTACTGTGGTTCACTGTGGAAAAATAGCCAAGGCTCTGACTTTCTCTTGTTGGTCTTGTTGCCTTGTGGCAGAGTATCCAGCAATTCAGCTCTTTCTGGGCATTGATTATATGAGTGTTGGCAGTAGATAATTGCATCTTTGTTTTTTCTTTTATTCACTGAAGAACTTGGTGTTTATGTTAATTTTAACTACCCAGAAGATCAAGATTAGACTGAACAGTGCTTATCTGTAGTTGGCAGCTAACCTGGAAGAAGGAAAATAAAGCATGGAAATTGGAAGAACTTTTTCTTATGGCTGAGGTTCAACAGTAGCTGTGTTGAGCATCTTGGTGTTTTAACAGTTGTCTGCCATCAGTTTAAAAAGGCTTCATTTTTCCCATAGGAAAATGTCTTTAGGTTTACATTCTCTGCAAAGTAAGGAAGTGTATTTCAAAGGGTAACTTGGGCATTTTTTTTTCCCCAGGAAAATATGTTGTGTTCTTCTTTTACCCTCTTGACTTCACCTTTGTGTGCCCCACGGAGATCATTGCTTTCAGTGATCGGGCAGAAGAATTTAAGAAACTCAACTGCCAAGTAATTGGTGCTTCTGTGGATTCTCACTTCTGTCACCTGGCATGGTAAATCTCTTGGTCCATTTGGCATGGGCTTATTTTAGAAAATTATTACGGATTTTTTTTTTTTTGTAGCTGTGCTGTGTGGCATGTGGGATCTTAGTTCTCCAACCAGGGAGCAAACCTGTGCATCATGCAGTGGAAGCGCGGTAGAAGTCTTAATCACTTGGACCACCAGGGAAGTCCAGGCATAGGAACTTTGAAGCAGCAACTGGAACCTGGAGGCTTTGGCAATGGACTTTTTCAAGTATTGACTTCTGGCTCCTCATGGAAGGAGTGCAAATGCTCTGACTTCCTTTTGTTGCTCTTATAACTTAGCAGCAGAGGAAAAGCAGGTTGGGTTGCAGCTGAATGTACCCTGGTGACTTTAATTGGTCTCAGGCATTTACTACTGCGCTTCCCTCATAGCTTAGTCGGTAAAGAATCTGCCTGCAATGTGGGACACCCGGGTTCGATTCCTAGGTTGGGAAGATCCCCTGGAGAAGGAAATGGCAGTATTCTTGCCTGGAAAATCCCATGGACAGAGGAGCCAGGCAGGCTACAGTCCATAGGGTCGCAAGAGTCGGACACAACTTAGCGACTAAACTACCATTTACTGCTGGAAAAAACTTAGAAAGTTTTCTGGGGAGTTAGATTAGCAATGTTGGGGTGGGATAGATATAGTTAATGCTTTTGTTACAGAAGAATTTGAATGAGTGTGATTGCATGTGTGTTTTTTTACTGTAGGATCAACACACCCAAGAAACAAGGAGGACTGGGACCCATGAACATTCCCTTGATATCAGACCCCAAGCGCACCATTGCTCAGGACTATGGGGTCTTAAAGGCCGATGAAGGCATCTCATTCAGGTATATATGCACCAGGAAACTGGCTGATTGGCTGAAGATCTTTTATAAGTACAGCTGTGATCTGTGGAGACTTTTCTTATTTCTTTTTTTTTTTTCCTGTTTTGTTGAGAAATAATTGACATACATCACTGTAAGTTTAAGGTGTATGGCATAATGGTTTCATTCTTTATGCAGGACCTAAGGTTCGGAAGGCCAGTTTCTGTTGATTTACTCTAACAGCAATTTCTAAAACTGTGCTGTCTCTCCCTCAGACCTTTAATATTTTCTTCCAGGGGCCTTTTTATTATTGATGATAAAGGTATCCTTCGACAGATCACCATAAATGACCTTCCTGTTGGCCGCTCTGTGGATGAGACACTGAGACTAGTTCAGGCCTTCCAGTTTACTGACAAACATGGGGAAGGTAAGCCAGTTTGCCTGGTGACAGGACAGTGGAGTGATAGGGTGGGAAAGATGGTGGGAACAAAGTCTACCGGATAGGAAAAGGGTTATTATGTCTCTTTAAGAAATTGCAGTCTCAGGATTATAGTGGTTTGTGGGGGTGAGGTAATAGAACAGCTTGGGGAGGAGAATATAAAGGCTTTTTGTTCCAACTGCATATTCCCAGCTTCTACCCTGCTCATTTAGAATTACTGCTGCAGATTCAACTTGTTAAAGTGTAGGAGGATCTCATAGGTGTTAACATTTTTGTCTTTTAAAAATTCATTCTGTTGTGCAGGGTGTTTTTTGTATCTGTAAGAATTACATATAAAAAAAGAACTATAGTCACCAAATACCAAATTATATAAATGCTCAATATAAAAATTTTTTTGGAAAAAAAAATTTTTTTTTTGAGGAGGGGTTAGGGCAAGAGGGTTTGAGATGAAATCTCAAGCTCTTAGAGAAGTTTCAAGATTAAAGATGATGTTTTTGTGAGTCTGTCCTTGTAAAATCTAAACATGACTGAGAAGATTGATTTTTTTTTTTTTTTTTTTTGAGAAGATTGAATTTATGGTTTTTGTCTAGCATTCACTAGAGTGTAGGTCTTTCTTACTGCTCTGGTCCTTCTCATCTGAAATAATCTATTGAAGTGTTTTTGATAAAAGTCCTGAACTGCTTGCTCCCAGCCTCAGTTTATAAGACTGTAGCTTCTGAAAACTCCCCACTTTTGCCCAGTGGAGTTGTTGCTTGTAATGAGACCACCTTATTCCAACTAAGAGTTTAGTTTTAAGAACAGCTCCTCAGTCTGCTGCAAATGCTGGGTATGTAAGGGGAAGGGGATCTTGAACCCCACCCAGCCACCCCAGCTTAATGTAATTGAGGATATAAAATAGTTGTGATCACTGCTACTGTTCAGCTCTGATCTCATGAGTTACAGGAGGTGGAAGTTAAGAGTCTGGATTAGTGGTGTTTGGGGGACCCAAAAGTGCTAGTTTGGCTGGAGTGGAAGGCTAGTAGGTAATGGGAATCAGAAGGTACCATTTGCAGAAGTCTGTGTAGGCTTTGCTCTAGATTGAAGCAGACAGCTGCTGAGACTGCCCTCTGGTGGAGAATGGTTCAGCACAAAGATGGAAGGAGCTGAGGAGGGGATGGCAAAGTTGGCCCTTTATTGGACTTTCCCTTGCATGTATAGTATAGACTTTTTTTAAAATTAATTTTTACTGGGATAGACTCTTGAACCCAAGCTTTCATGAGTTGTGACACTTGCTTCTTTACACTCTTGTTCTCTGCTGCTTCCCATCCCACTAAAACAAGCACAGCTTTCTGTGTGCAGTCTTTAATGGCTCATGATAGTTAGTGTTTGAGAGCCTGCGGATATCAAGCACTCTATATGAGGTGCTGTCGTGTTATTTGACAAATAATCAGTCCTGTTTTTAAAATAGATACGTGTTAGTTTCAGGTGTACAACATAATCTGATATTTGTATATCCTATGTTCCTATTTTTCTTTAAAATGTCTTTTATCTTGAACTTACACTTTTTTTGGGGGGGATCTTTGAGTGAACCTGTATTACATTTTAGCAGAGAAAGGGGTGAACTGACAATACTACAAAGACATTTTTTAACTTAAATCCTAAGTTCCTATTTTTTTTAATTTTTCAAAAATTAAATTTTTAAAAAATTTATTTGTTTTTGTCTCTGTTGGGTCTTCGTTGCTACTTGGGCTTTTCTCTAGTTGCGAGTGGGGGCTCCTCTCTAGGTGCTGTGTGAGGGCTTCTCATCATGGGAGCTTCTCTTGTGGGCTGCGGGCTCTTGGGCACGCAGGCTTCAGTAGCTGTGGCTCCTGGGCTCTAAAACTCAGTAGTTGGGTTGCGCGGGCTTAGTTGTTCTGTGACATGTGGGATCTTCCCGGATCAGGGGTGGAAATGTCTCCTGTGTTGGCAGGTGAATTCTTCACCCCTGAATCACCAGGGAAGCCCCTGTGTTCCTGTTTTTAGGACCAATAAACCACTATTGAAACACTGCATGTATTCAGTTAATGGTAGAACTGGGATCAAAATTCAAAGCCCTCCTTTTTTTAACATAATTTAAAATGCTGAGAAAGGCATTGTTTAGAGCCTTCTGTGTTGGGGAGAGTTGTACTTCAGCTTCTATTGGAAGCTAGTAAATGTTGGACTCAGCCAGTTGTGCTGAGCTTCATATTAATTCTAAAAATCCAGCACTGTTGGGTATGAGTCCAAGTGTGGATCTTTCTGTCCTGTCATTGATTATGGGTACAGTCTTAAGTGCCAAGAGGCCCTAGTGCAAGGATACTAAGTTGTCAAGGTTATTCTTTCTGGCTCATTATTCTTCCTATCTTTGTGTCGTGGTTTGTAATTGGGCTCTTCTAAAGCTGTGTTTTCTTCCAGGACAGAAGAATCTTTGGTTTCCCTGGTGGTAAACTGCTGGGTCTGGTCTCTGATATTTTATGCTGCTCTTTATTCTCAGATGCTTGTTTATACTTATGACCTGTGCTCTAACCCTTTGGTGGCACTGAAGGGAATGACTATGTAAGGATCAAATGGAGATTTTGTAAAGCAGCTAAGTGCTTCCATACCTTGTTCCCAGATGGCTGTTTGTAGTGTCTGACCTCTGAGGCTATGACATCCAAGGGGAGAAAAGGGCTTCACTTCTCTCACTGGAGAAAGTGAGACTTTTGCTGCTTTGTTACTGGACTTTGGTGACTATATGTCTCCTGCAAGACAAAACAACAGGTGAAGAGTGGAATATCAGAGATCGCTCCCCTTATCTCACTTTCCTCAGGTTTTCCCAAGGAGCATTGCTCACTCAGGATCATAGGAAAGACTGAAGTTTATACTTTTCTGCATAAAGTGTTTGAGAGATTAAAACTCAGACCTTTTGCTTACCAAGGTATAGAAGGCAATTACTTAGTTAAACAAGCAGGACCTTGTGGAGGTGTCCTGCCCCTTTGTGTTTCAGGCATTCTTGTTTGGCAGAGTTAAGGAACACTGAGAAGGCAAACTGCTGCTTTCATATCTCTGAAGAGCCAGCTGATAGAAGCAGCAGCTTAGTGTTAGGGTTTACACAGTCCTAACTTTGTCATTTTTTAGCTTGTATTTTTTTCTTGGGGGTAAGTCACTTTTTTTTTGGTCAGTTTTTCTGTGGTTATATAGGGTATAATTTACCTTTTTAAGCATTTAATTCAGTGGCACTAGTTACATCAGTGTTGTATATCTATCACTATTTCTCAAACTTTTTCATCATACCAAACAAGCAGTTGGAAAAGGCAATGGCACCCCACTCCAGTATTCTTGCCTGGAAAATCCCATGGACAGAGGAGCCTGGTAGGCTGCAGTCCATGGGGTCGCAAAGAGTTGGACACGACTGAGCGACTTCACTTTCACTTTTCACTTTCATGCATTGGAGAAGGAAATGGCAGCCCACTCCAGTGTTTTTGCCTGGAGAATTCCAGGGTCGCACAGAATCGGACACGACTGAAGCGACTTAGCAGCAGCAGCAAACAAGCAGCAGTAGTAGTAGTAACCATGAAGAAATAACTCACCATTCCCCTTTCCCTCCATCTATGAATTTACCTATTTTTAATATTTCATATGAGTGAAATCATACAATGTTTATCCATTTGTGTCTGGTTTCTTTCACTTGGCGTAATGTTTTTAAGGTTCTCAAAAGTTTATCCAGGCTGTAGTATGTATAAGAACTTCATTCTTTTTAAAGGCTGAATAATATTTCATTTTATATGTATACTTCTTGGTGGCTGAGACAGGAAAGAATCTGCCTGTAGTGCAGGAAATCCAGCTTCAATCCCTGGGTGGGAAAGATCCCCTGGAAAGGGGTGGAGCAACCCCCTCCAGTATTCTTGCCTGGAGAATCCCATGGGCAGAGTAGCCTGTCGGGCTACAATCCATGGAATTGCAAGGAGATGGACACAACTGAGCAATTTTCACTTTTCCTATGTATACTACATTTTGTCTGTTAACAGGTTATTTCCACCTTTTGGCTATTGTGAATAATGTTGCTAAAATATTAGTGAATATATATGAATCCTTGTTTCTAGTACATAGGAGTAGAATTTCTGGGTCCTGTGGTAATTCTGTTTAGATTCTTAAGGAATTTTCAGACTTTCCCACGGCACCTCTACCATTTTACATCCCCACTAACAATACCAAGGGTTCTTTATATCCTTCCCAGTATTTACTTTCCGTCTTTTTTTTTTAAACTATAGCCGTCTTAGGGAATATGAAGTGGTATCTCATTGTGGTTTTGATTTGTATTTCCCTAACGACTGGTAATAGCATATTTTCATGTGTTTATTGACCATTTGTATATCTTTGGAGATACATCTGTTTTCAAGTCCTTTGCTCATTTTTGAATTGTCTTTTTGTTGTTGAGTTGTGGGAGTTTGGATTTAATTTTGGCTATTAATCCCTCACTAGATACGATTTATAAATATTTTCTCATTCTGTGGGTTGTTTTCAAAGAATTTATGGATTTTTGGATGAACCTAGATCCCTTTATACAAAGTGAAGTAAGTCAGAAAGAAATATAAATATCGTATACAAACGTGTATATATATGGAATCTAGAAAGATGGTACTGAAGAATTTATATAAGACATAGAGAACAGACTTATGAACATGGGGAAAAGGGAGGAGAGGGTGAGATGTACAGAGAGAGTAACATGGAAACTTACATTACCATATGTAAATTAGATAGCAAATGGGAATTTGCTGTATGTCTCAGGGAACTCTGTATCAACCTAGAGGGGTGGGATGGGGAGGGAGGCGGGAGGGAGGGGACATATGTATACCTATGGTTGATTCACGTTGAGGTTTGACAGAAAACAGTTCTGTAAAGCAATTATCCTTTAATTAAAAAAATTTATGGTTTTAGCTCTTAGATTTTTGATCTGTTTTTAAGTAAATTCCTTGTATATGGTATGAATAGATGTCCAGCATCATTGTTGTACATGTGGAAGTTCAGCTATTCCAGAACCATCTTTTGAAGCTTATTTTTCAAAAGATGCATTTTTGAAGCATGCATAAAATTACAGAGAGCATGAGTACCCATTTACTTACTACCCACTGTTAACAAAATCTCAAATATTTTGCCATACATGGTTTAGATTGTGTTTAGAACAGCATAAAGTTGAAGCTGTTAATTTCTTTAAATTTCAGTTACTGCATGAAAATTAAAGTATAGTAATTGGGCCTATGGTGAGGATTACTTAGTCTTGTACTAAAAGGCTGAATTGATCTGACTGGAGGGTAGGCCTCCTGGTACCTGAATGTTGAAGACCTCTAGGGCTCAGATTTGGTTTTGAGGTATCCAGTTGTCCTTAGGAGGGTGGAGCTCACTACTGATGTGGTTATTAATCAGTTCCCTTTCTCTTGCAGTGTGCCCAGCTGGCTGGAAGCCTGGCAGTGATACTATCAAGCCTGATGTCCAGAAGAGCAAAGAATATTTCTCTAAGCAGAAGTGAGCACTGGGCCATTTTAGGGCCAGGCTGCAGTAGGCAGCCTTGAAAACAAAACCTCTTTTGTCCTATTTTCATGCTTAAAACCATGATTTTACACTCCACCAGGATGTCTGTGGGACAGGACTGGCCTTTCCTGCAGGGGTTGGGGAGGCCAGCCTTTCTTCCTCTGGACGGCCAACTGATGTATACAGTAAGGGGGTATCACTTTTGATCTTTTGTAGTTTTATTAAATTTGAAATGAGACCTTGTTGATTCTTCATTGGTTGGGGGGGGCAGGGCGGACGGTGGCATTAGCCTTTGATTTTAAGAGGAATTTACTCTGCTTTCCTGCTTGGGGAGAAAATGAGGTGTAAGAGCTGCCTCAGAATCGTGACATGATATTGAGGGAAAATGTACATAGACAACAGGGAAAAGAGCAAGACCTGCTACAGTATCAGCCAAGGCGCTGCAGTTTATGCTGTAGGCTGGGTTGCAGTGAGGTTCTTGACATCTCCAGTACTACGAGGGCTGCATGAAAACTGGATAAATGGCTGGTACTGTGTCTAAGATTACAGAGTTACGGGCTTTAGGTATCTTTGGAATTGAAAGGGGGAGGCAAACCCAGGGCTGGCTTTCTGTTTCAGAAACACAGTGGTGAGCACCTCTTGGCTTCCCTGGGTTTCCAGCCTTGATTTAAGGGTAGTTCTTGTTCTCATGAAAGTGAAAGTTGCTCAGTCCTGTCTGACTCTTTCAAACAACATGGACTGTATAGTCCATGGAGTTCTCCAGGCCAGAAAACTGGAGAGGGTAGCTTTTCCCCCTTCTTCAGTGTATCTTCCCAACCCAGAAATCGAACTGGGGTCTCCTGCATTGCAGGTGGATTCTTTACAAACTGAGCTATCAGGGAAGCCCCATCTTTCCTGATCCTGGGAAAGACTGAATGTGGGAGAAGGGGATGACAGAGGATGAGATGGTTGGAAGGCATCACCAACTTGGACATGAGTTTGAGTAACGTCCGGGAGTTGGTGATGGACAGAGAAGCCTGGCATGTTGCAGTCCATGGGGTTGCAAAGATTTGGACACGACTGAACTGTTCTCATTCGTACGTGTGTTCTGAGGGAAGGTTGTCAGTAGGGGGAAGGTGGATTTCTCCTGGGCCCAAGGCTAGGGCAGATTTACAACTGAAGATCCTTCAGTAATATGTGCCCTTCCAGACACCACACCCCCCCACTAGCCCAGCCTACCTGTGGGCAGGATCCCCAGGGCCTTCATCAACAGCTTACTATATGCTAAGCAATTTCACATTTATTCAGTCACCATGATAACCCTCTGAAGCAGGTACTATTATTTAGGGGATAGTTCCTCCTTAGGCCCTGCAACAGGTAGTATTTTGAAGCACTGCAGAGAAATGGTAACAGGTAGCGATCCCATATTCCAAGGCAGGTGGGAGGTCTGGATCTACTTTGGTTGTCTTTTTGTTGTTGGTCTTCTGTCTTAACCAAACTTTCCTGAGCCTTGTTATTTTCATTTCATTTAGGATCTCTACTATAATTCTTAATCAAAAATAATCATTTTATACCCAAAATAAGTTTCTTCCCTGGCAAAATATTAATAGTAGTGTAAAAGTCAGGTGCCAATGCCCTAAATGAGGATCCCACAGGCAGGGAAGGTATCAGGGACCGGGGGATGTAGGTGGGGAAACTGTGGGGCTGAGCCAGCCTCTCCTGGGATTCTGAGGCTTCTTGGGTAAGAGTGTAGTGAAGTGAAGCTCTTGGGATGGAGAGCTAGGCTCCTCTGAGGGCTGGGGCAAGCCCAGTAAGGCCAAGCGTTGGGCAGGAGGAGTGGAAAAGTACACCTTCTGCTCTTCTGAATAGCGCTCCTGAGGTGTCACAGCATCCCGGTAAGTCCAGTCACGCCAATGGAAATTGAAGCGTTCAAGCAGGGTGATGCGGTCAGCTCTTGTGGGTACACAGTCAAGGGGCTTTGTGGGTCGCAGATTCGGCACCTCTATTCCTCGCAGCAGCACCACCCCTCGGATGGCAAACCAGCCCCCAAATCTGGGATGTATGCACACACCTGCTATGTGCTGGGGAGAGAAAGCAAGGTCATGGTGGTCACATGGGCACCAATAACTACCATCAGTGCAAGCTAGTTCACTTATTTCTCATTCAACAGAGTGATTCTACATGTGAGCCTGTCAGGGAATTCCCTGGTGGTCCAATGGTTAGGACTCCACGCTGTCACTGCCAAGGTCCCAGGTTCTACCTTTGGTCAAGGAACTAAGATCCCACAAGCTGTGCTGCATATACACACACATGAACTTCTGTTGGTCTTAGCTGGGCTCCCCTACTCTGTTAACTCTTCATGAAGTCACTGACCCCAAGCAGAGTTTTCTTAAACTGAACCTCAGCTTCCCAGTCTCACTGTGGGTTTAATCACAGCTCTACCTGCTCCATTCTGTCACAAAGAATAAAAGACTAGTTCTCTAACCTGATCCCTGGTGGCTCAGATGGTAAACTGCCTGCCAGTGAAGGAGACATGGGTTTAGTCCCTGGGTTGGATTGGGAAGATCCCCTGGGTATTCTTGCCCAGAGAATTCTGTGTACAGGAGCCTGGTGGGCCACTGTCCATGGGATCGCAAAGCAAAGAGCTTGACACAACTGAGCAACTAACACTTTACTTTCTCTGACCTGATGTGTCTGCAAGTAGACAAATTGTGGAACTGGATCATTGACCATGGTGCACTCTTGTCCTGGATTGTACCCAGCAACTCCTTTACCCAGGGAAGGTAGAAGAATGGGACTTGAAATTTTTCTTTTTTTGTGGCACCACATGGTTAGCAGGATTTCAGTTCTCTAACCATGGACTGAACTGGGACCATGGCAGTGAAAACCTGGAATCCTAACCACTAGACCACCAGGGAATTCCTGGGACTTGAAATCTTGAGGGATTTTTATTTCACTTTCTTTCTCAGCCCCTATTTGCTCATACTTGCCCTCTGACCTGGGTCCCCCAAGGGTCAGACTCCACGTCCTGTCGTTGGTAGTAGTAAGCAGCCCCTGCTACATGGGCTGCTGTCTGGGCCAGGATCTTGGGGCGACGGTTGGGGTGTACCTCGTAGTCAGCAATGACTTCTATCTGCAGCTCTGGGAAGCTCTGGGATAGAGGATAAGATGAAGATTTTTAGCACAACAGGAATCATGATCATGTTCAACAGAGCCTTCAGCTGTGTTAACATGTCCCTGTCCTTAGAAGTCATGTTTAAAGGGAAAACATGACCTTAAACTTGTAGTGGAATTGGAGGCTCCAGTGTGAAGAAAATGATAATCCTGTTTAGGATTGTTCAGAAACCTCTGCTACAGCTCTTCCCTCCAGAGGCCCAGTGCAGAGGAAGACATGGTCCAGCTTTGGGGAGACCCAGTGTATGTATATGTATTTATATATATATGTAAAGTATGTAGTGCAGGGATCCTGTTCTGTCTTCAAAAGACCCCATAAGGCTCCCAGGTCTAAGGCAAAAACAGGTGAGAGATGCATGGAGAATTTTGGGGCTTATTCCTATTTCACTTGGAGGTCAAGGGAAGTCTGCTCATCAAGTTGCCCATCAGTGAAGGGGGAGATTGATCCATTGCAGACCTGGTTGGCTAGAGGGGTTGGCTAAACATGAGATGAGAAGGCAGAATGGGGAGAGATTACAATGTCAAGGCTGGCTTTAGGAGCTGGGGAAGTGGCTCCTTGCCAGACTCTATACTGAGCTTAGAGGAACTGGAAGTAGATGCAGGTTTGGAAGCTGGGTGAGGTCATAGCCAGCCTTGCTCACCCCTCTAACTCGGCCCAGGTGGTAGGCCACACACTGGTCCACAGGGTCAGTCAGTGGTTGGAGATGGTGGCTCTGCAGGAAGGGCTTGAGGGCCCGGTCAAACATGGCAGGTGTGCTGAGTACCAGGAAGGCCAGTGTGGGTCCTGGCAGGGGCAGGTGGAAGGCCGGAGGCAGGAGTGCATTGTACCATGCCACCTGGAACAGAGAGAAAATTCACACTGCACAAGAGGGTCAACTTAGGCCTTAGCCAGGCCCATACCTTGGCCTGGCATTCAAGGTTTCATGCATCTTGCCCAGCTTCCTTCTTGTTCAAACAATGAAATTCTCCTGATGCTGTGTGACGTGTGTTTGTGGGAGACTCATCTGACAGAGTTATAATAGGCAAAGGATTCATAAACAACTAAGAAAAAGAAGAAATTGAAAAAAAAAAAAGAAATTGATTGTATTGTGGTTAGTGCAATAACAGGGCCAATGAAGGTCCTCTGAAATTAGAAAAGGCTTCTTGGAAGCTGAGTCTTGATGGCTGGGAAGGTAACTTATAGGCTGACGTGGAGAGGGAGAATCTGGTGTGTGTTTTAAACAGGCAAAAAATGCAAAGCATACTAGGAGAATAGCAAATGGTCTAGTTTGATAGAAATGTAGCATCTGTGGAGGGGAGCAGAGGGAAAGAAGGCTGGAGAGATCAGTAAGAATGAGACTGTGGCCTTGAATACCATTTGAAGGAATATGGATTTAATTTGCTGATAGTGAGGGGTTAGCCATTGAAGATTTAAGAAGCAAACTGACATGATCAGTTTTAGATCAACCTGACTGCAGTGTGGAGGAAGGAATAGAGGCAAAGTGACAGCAAGGAGTTTATTGCAGAAATCCAAATGACTAATAGTGGGCTGAACCAGGGCATAGATTGGTTGAATGGAAGGAAATGGATCTGTGAGATTTAGGAGACAGATTCCTCAAGATTGCTGTGGATGACTGTATGTGGCGCTGGGAAGGTGAGAGAAGTAGGAACATAGGATGACTGGCAGGGTTGTAAGTGGCACTGTTCAATACCACAGCTCCTACTACCAAGGTCTTCTTGATTATATCAGATAGGTATCCCCAATCTCTCCCACACCTGCCATCCACCATTATCTCCATACCTTGACTCAAGCTATTCCTGATATTTGAGATGTACATGACCCTCCTTCCTTCCTATCTATCTTTTCATATATAGCTCAACTCCATTTTTTTCCAGGGAAGCCTCTCTGAGGCTAGACCCAACTACCTCTTCCTCTATAATCCTCTCCCAGCATTGCTGTATACCACTCAGTGGAAAGTGGAAAGGGTGGCCTCTTAAGCATCAGGCAGAAGGTTCAGGTTGAGTTGATTTAGCCCTGCATTAAGCACAGGGATCAGTGCAGAGGGCACTGGATGTGGGGGGAGATGGACCTACGTGAATAAGGGTAGGTCCTGATGCCAGACTTCTGTGTCAGGCAAGTGTACAGTTTCTAAACCCAGCCCAACATTGATGATTAGCAACATCATGAATGTAACCTTCTGCAGGTAGATCGAACAACTAAGCCAACTGTTTGCTTGTTCAACATCCAGAATGCCCTTTGCTCATGAGCCATACAAACATTCCCAGACCTTGCCCTCTCCTAAACTCCTTCGGGAAGCTTCCAAAGTGACTCTGGCTCCACAGATCCCCTTCCTCCTCTAAATTACCTAGGTGACAAAACCACGAGGTTACTGGATCACATGGTGTCCCCTACTCATCAATGCAGCATTGTATGAGAGTAAAAGAGATGACTCGTTGGAAAGACTCTGATGTTGGGAAAGACTGAAGGCAGGAGAAGGGAATGACAGAGGACGAGATGGTTGGATGGCATCACCGACTCAACGGACATGAGTTTGAGCAAGCTCCGGGAGGTGTTGATGGGCAGGGAAACCTGGCGTGCTGCAGTCCATGGGGTCACCAAGAGTCGGACACGACTGAGCGACTGAACAACAACAACAAAAGAACAAACCTGCAACGCTACTCTACCCGTTTAGGCCAAGCGCCCTGTCTCGACAATCAAACGGACACACGGCCAGAGGAGCTCGAGAAAGATCAGAAAATTCACGGGCCTCACGTCAGTGGCACCGAAGCCATGCATACGCTTCGCCCTAGCACCGCAGAAGGGATAAACCAACCTGGAAGGGGTAAACTTCGAAGCCAAAAGGGCACAACGTGTCCTCAATCTTCTGCTTCAGCTCTGCCACTAGCGGCTCCATAGTGCACGTTACACACTGAGCCTGCTGGGGAATGGAGTCTCAAGGTTACTCAGGACTTTACGCTTTGAGACAGCTTGGACTCCATTTCCCAACAGTTACGGGGATCAGCTGCGGGACTGTGTGGTCTCCGCGCGATGCATCCTGGGACGCGTAGTTCATTCAGTTCGTAGAGGCGCCCACTACAGAAGCAGAAAAACTCGGTTTCCCGGCAAGCTTCACGGTGAGGGGGGGAACTATGACTGCGCGTGTTGCTTCCAGGGAAACGTAGTTCGGTGGCCTCCATCGCCGATTGTCTCCAATAGAGGCGAACTCAATTTCCCAAGTGGCGCCGCGGAGGCCAGTCCGAAGTCGGGTTTTTCCGGCCTGCCGTAAGGTTTGAACTGGGCGGCGGCAGTGGTCACTGGCACAGTTTTGGTGTTCTGGCGCCAGCTGTGAGTCTGGGGACGTCTAAACTAAGATTCAGCATCTTCAGTTCCCAATTGATACTTGTTCATCAGGGCATCCCGCTTTCCCCCTAGTTCCTTAAGGACGCCGCTCCCCGGACTAGTCCCAGAAGCGCAGTTTTGGTCTGATTATTGCTTCCTTACCTTTAGTATTGCATCCCCCCACTCACCTCTTTAGAGCTTACGTTGTGGTCTTCCCTGGGCTGTGTCTTGGGTATCCACAGTGTGGGAAGCAAGGGCACAAGACGCCAGGAAGCCAGACCCCTGCCGCAGGCCATGAATAGGAGCCTGAGCTGGTCTGAGCAGCTCGACGCGCTTCTCAATGCTACGGACCGAAATGTGAGCAGAATTAAGGTGAGGGGGCGCCTGAGTCCCCCTGCCCCCCTGTTTAGGGGATGTGGGTTAATAAATTGCAAAACAGAACTCATTGGCCTGTGCATTTGTTTCTTTTGTAGCAACGGCTGTATCCACTTGGAGTCTCTACCGGGGGTGAATATTGTCCCTCAGCCTTTCTTTCCAGTGTTAACACTGTTCTTTTCAAATTCCAACTTTTTCTTTGCCTGAAGAAACGTCTGTTCCCCCCTCCACCTAAGGGGCTTTGCACTTGTCCCTTCCTTTTTCCCTCAGCAGGAGACCTGGCTGGGACCTGGATTTCCCCTCATCACTTGCCTACCCAGTCAGGAATCCAAGCTCAAAAGGCTTGGGCTCTAGAGGCTCCCGTATTCCCAGAGAGGCTAAACTGGGCTGAGGCCCACAGTGCATCTTCTCTCTGGGACGAAGTTACTATTCTTCGATCCCAGCTTCGATCCCAGGCTCAGGTGAGGCATGGACTCCTGAGGTGTGTATATTTGGGGTTTGTGTGAGTGTGAGATGAGGTTACCAGTGGTTGGGGAGCTCATGGGGCTTTTCTGCCTGGGTAGGTGACTGAAGCACTACGGCAGGCTGTCCAGGGCCTGCTGGAAGAGCGAGAGCAGCAGAAGTACAATATCTCTGCCCTGGAAGGTATTTGATTGTTCTTTTCTTCATATACACAGCCTCAAATGTGTGTGCACATTTTGTGGTTCTTCTGTTGTCTGTGCACTTGTGTCTTGATTTGCAAGTGGAGTCTATAGGCTCTTGTGTGAAGTTCTTAGGGGGCTGATCCCCAACTTGTCTCACTGTAGCATCACTAAGATTGCTGCAGGGGGGGCCAGAGCAAAGGGTCCTTCTCCTGGAGCAACGCCTGGAAGAGATGAGAAGGGAACTGCAGGGCCTTCGAAGCCAGGTGAAGGAACAGGCCCGAGCCCAAATACAGACAGGACCACAGGAGTGCAGTGCCACCAGTGGCCTTCACGAAGAGCTTCAGAATGAGTAAGTGATGGGCAAAACCTTGTCTTCTTCAGCCCTGAACTCCTGGTACTCTGGTAGCCTCCTCTGGGCTTGTTAATTGGCTTTAGAGTGACACTGCTATTATCCCTGAAGGTGGCAACTGCTGTGCAAGGAGTCAGAGATTCTTCGGGAGGACCTAAAGTTGCTTCGGGATCAGTTGAGTGAGTAAAAGGTTGAGGGTGGGTGTGAATCCACCTGTTCCTTTTCTGAAAAGCCTTCTTGCTTTCCTAATAAATGACCATACCTTTGCTTGAGCTACCCGGAAACCTGGCCAAGTATTTTGTCTTTCCTCACATGGTGTGAGTGTGTCTCTCCAGTCAGGTTGGAAACTTCCCAGTAGCTGGACCAGAATGTATCTGTCCGTTTCCAGTGCCAGGCTGCGCGCAAGGCAGGGACCAGGGGAAGGAAGGAAGTTGGAGATGTTCCTTCACATTTTCTCTCATCTGCAGGCCAGCACCAGGAGCTGCTGCTGAAACAGATGAATGAGAGGCGGCAAGGTCAGGCCTGCAGCTGGAAGGTAGGACCAGGATTGGACCTATCTGTTCATCTCTCCCTTTGGAGGCCCCTTCCTTTATCTATCCTGTTTTGCGGGCAGGCCAGGATACCCTCTCCTACTCCTATCTCTTTCCATCTCTTCCTTGTGCTGACTCCACCTCCCTCCAAAGCTCTTCTTCCTAAGCCCTCTGCTCCAGGACATGAGAAACTATCTTTGTCCACATGAGGGCTCCAAGTGGGCTCAAGAGGCTAATCATGGGGAGGCGGGTGCTCCTCCTGGAGAGGTAGAGGTTTGGTCCTACCTGGCCCTATGGTATGGCAGATGTTGGATCAGCTGCAAAGTGGCCTGGACGGCAAAGGTCACACCCTGGAGGCTGTCAGAACAGAGGTCCAGGATGCCCGGCAGGAGCATGACCTGCTCAGGTCAGGAGGTGTGGGTGTTTATGGCGGTGGAAGGGATTTGTCTTACAGAGGCCAGGCATTGGAGACCACAGTTCAGCTATCTCAGATTTGACATGGGCTGGTAGGGAATGGTAGGGGGTTACAGCCCATATGGGCAGTACTGCACATTTTCTTTGCTTGACACAGTGTCTCTGAGGTATCTCTGTATTTGGAGGATAAAGGGGGAAGAGACTGGAGTCCTAGCTTCAGGAAGGAGGACAGGTCAGGTCTGTGCTGGGAGGGCCCCTTGACCCACTGTCACCATGTCTACTTCTGATTCTTTCCCTTTTGCAGGACTTCCATTCATGTCCTCCAATCTAAGCTTCCCTGACTGCCCACCTTCACCATGTCGCTTTCTTCATTTAGCTCTGAAGTCAGGCTCCTGGACAGTAACAGTAGCTGGGAACTTTTAAGGAAGCTAGGTGAGGGTAAGGCAGGAGGCTGAATCTGAGTGGTGCCTGGACGCCAGCTGCCTAATTGTTTGACACTGGATAGAATGGGGTCTCTGCCTCTTTCTTTGGAAATCCATCAACCTCTGTTGCTCCTTATCCCATCAGGCCTGTATGTCCCTCCCCAACATGGCCCAAGCCTAGGACCGTGTGTAACACAGTGCTTGCTGATGATTTGTTTTTTTTCCCCCTTTCTCTCCTCATAGATCTCCAGAGGCATACCCTTTCTAACCCAGAGCCCAGCAGCTTTCAGCTCCAGGCCCAGAGCCTTGAGCAAGAGGACCTATTCTTTAAGGGCCCCAGGATACTCCTAAGTGACCTGTAAGGACTTGTAGTTGGATGAAGTCTTCTTTGCTCACCTTCCCCTCCAAGGTCCTGTTTCTGAGTCGCCTGCCCCTCCCCTCTTGATCTAATTGGTGTTTGCCCTCCCTGCTGAGGCTTGTCACTGCCTGTCCATCCATGTCTACCAATTGCAATAAAATGGTTTAACCCTCCCTGATGTGTTTGTGAATCAGCACCCACATGGGATAGGCTCAGCTGTACCTTTTCTTCCTCCTGTTACTTGATTGCTTCCTGCTACCTCTCTCTCTGAAACCCAAGTTCATGGGCATTTATAACTGTATCTTCTGAGTATAGACCCTGTGCTCAGTGGAAATTGGAAGGAGATAGAAGCTCCCAGTCTGGTGGGTAGAATGAGGTAGGCCAGTGCTCGGGACAGTACTGCTGTGGGGATGCAGAGGAGGATAAGACATTGTGGTGGGCCCTTGACCTGGGCAATAGAAGGAGTCCTCTTTTTTTTTTTTTTCCCCCAGCTTCTGTCTCCTGAGCCTCTCTCTGGCCCCTTTATATCTCTTCATCCTCAGCAGCCCAGGCTGTGATTCTGTAGCAGGCTCCTCTTTGGTCAGTCTTTCAGCCTAAACCTCTAATCCAGTGGCTTTCAGGATGTTTTGACTGTGACCTCTAGTAAGAAATAGTTTACATTGTATTGTAGCATAGTAAATGTTTGTATTTATTAACTGAAACAAATTTTATGATTCAGTACTTACTGGGAGTTAGACACTGATATTTCCTGTTATATTAAAAAATGCTTTTTGGCTATTAGTTCTGATCCTTCCTCCACTTGGATGCTCTCTGGAAAGTATGTCTTCCTAGGCAGGTAAGGGAAGTTTTACTTTTTCCTTACCTGGGCTTTGTATTCTGGACAGTGCATTCCAAGATTTCCCTACAAGTAGTAGCATCTCACTGAGGTCTCATGAAGTCTCTTCCTCTGCTAAACACAGCCAAAATAATGTTATTTATCCACTAAGTGGGTGTTTTCTTCTTTTTTAAACTTTTTTGGAACTTATTTATAATTTATTTTTTATTGAAGGATAATTGCTCTACAGAATTGTTGTTTTCTGTCAAACCTCAACATGAATCAGCCATAAGTATACACGTATCCCCTCCCTTTTGAACCTCCCTCCCATCTCTCTCCCCATCCCACCCCTCTAGGTTGATGCAGAGCCCCTGTTTGAGTTTTCTTAGCCATATAGCAAATTCCCGTTGGCTTTACTCTGGTAATGTAAGATTCCATGTTATTCTTTCCATACATCCCACCCTCCCCTTCCTCTCCCCAAGTCTATTCTCTATGTCTGTTTCTCCATTTGTGCCCTGAATGTATATTCTTCAGTACCATTTTTCTAGATTTTGTATATATGCATTAGAATATGATATTTATCTTTCTCTTTCTGACTGACTTCACTCTGTATAATAGGTTCTAGGTTCATCCACCTAATTAGAACTGACTCAAAGGTGTTCCTTTGTTTAAATTAATTTTTAGTGGAGTATAGTTGCTTAGCACAAGTGGATGATGTTTCTTGAACTTAAAGCAGACAAGTCCTGGTATGTATTTGTCCTGAGCTAAGATGTGCAGTGGACTCCCAGCTCTTAGCTCAATCTAGCTGGGAAGAGAAGACAGTTACCTGAAATAAAAGCACAATAAAAGGCTGGGGGTGAGTAGGGCAGAAACGGATGCTGAAGCTGAAGCTCCAATATCTTGGCCATCTGATGTGAAGAGCCAACTCACTGGAAAAGACCCTGATGCTGGGAAAAACTGAGGGCAGGAGGAGAAGGGGGAGACAAAGGATGAGATGGTTGGATGGCATCTCTGACTCAATGGACATGTGTTTGAGCAAACTCCAGGTGATAGTGAAGGACAGGGAAGCCTGGTGTGCTATAGTCCATGGTGTTGCAGAGTCAGACAAGACTTAGCTACTGAACAACAACAAAGGTGTTCAGTGGACTCCCAGCTCTTAACTCAATCTAGCTAGGAAGAAGAGACAGTTATCTGAAATAAAAGCATAATAAAAGACTGGGGTGAGGAGGGCAGGAACTATTTCCTGTTATGTGGTACATTCAGGTCCTGACTTAACTAGCAGACAAGTCATGAAGAGTGGGCCTCTGAAATCTGCATAGCTATAAGGCAATCATCAGAGTTTCTTTCCCTTCAGCATTGGGGAGATTGATGAGAGTGGAATGACAAGATCAGACCTGGGTCAAATATAACCTGTTCAAAAAAACCCCCAAAACTTCCCATCAAGGCTCATCTTCCTGCTGAAGCAGGTACAAGGGAACCCTATGTTTTACATCTTTCACTGGGGAGGTGATACATCTGGCATAATGATATTATTTAATCTACTTGCTACCAGTGGTCTGCTTATTTATCAACTCTTTTGCATCAACGTCTTTGGAAGACAGGTTTCCAAGGGTGCCAGGGCTCCAATAGCAATGTGGAACGATGGTATTTGAACTGTCAGCAGGTGGCAGCACATGATTTGTTGCCAGAAGAATGATACAGAAAAGGCTTTTTTGGCCAAGGAAACTGGGCCAGTGTTGATCTCTCTTCTCCCTTTAGAGATCCTGTGAGCTATCCATCTTTCTATAACAGTGTCCTGTTAAGGTTACTCTCCTGCTAAAGAACCTTTGATAATTCTCACAGCATAAAAAAGAAAGGACAAGTCTGACACTTTTTTTTTTTTAAATTAATTAATTTATTTATTTTTTTATCACAACCATAGTGTATCTTTTTTTTTTTTTTTTAACATGTATTCCCCATCCCGGTCCCCCCTCCCACCTCCCTCTCCACCCAATCCCTCTGGGTCTTCCCAGTGCACCAGGCCCGAGCACTTGTCTCATGCACCCAACCTGGGCTGGTGAACTGTTTCACCCTAGATAATATACGTGTTTCAATGCTGTTCTCTTGAAACATCCCACCCTCGCCTTCTCCCAGAGTCCACAAGTCTGTTCTATACATAGGAGTCTCTTTTTCTGTTTTGCACATAGAGTTATCGTTACCATCTTTCTAAATTCCATATATATGTGTTAGTATACTGTAATGGTCTTTATCTTTCTGGCTTACTTCGCTCTGTATAATGGGCTCCAGTTTCATCCATCTCATTAGAACTGATTCAAATGAATTCTTTTTAATGGCTGAGTAATATTCCATGGTGTCAAGTCTGACACTTAAACTGAACTCACATTTAACCTTTTCTTTCTCCATTCTTATCTCCTACCTCACATTGTGCAAGTGCTCAGTCATGTCCAACTCTTTGGGATCCCATGGACTGTAGCCTGCTAGGCTCCTCTGTCCACGAGGGTCTCCAGGCAAGAATATTGGAGTGGGTTGCCATTTCCTCTTCTAGGGAGGGTCTTCCTGACCCAGGGATTGAACCTGCATCTCCTGCATTGGGAGGCAAATTCTTTACCACTGAGCTAACTAGGAAGCTTAAACTTCTTTTGAAAAAAAAAAAAAATTACTTGGTTGCACGTGGGTCTTATTTCAGTCAAGTGAGATCTTTAGTTGTGGCATGGGAACTCCTAGTTGTGGGATGCGGGATCTAGTTCTCTGATCAGGGATTGAACCCAGGCCCCCTGCATTGTGAGTTGTGGAATCTTAGCCACTGGACCACTAGGGAAGTCCCCTTTCTTAAACATTATTGCCACCAAGAATGCACACCACTCCACTTATTCAAATTCCACTCATCTGTCAAGACCCAGCAGGAGGCAAGCCTAAAGATGTCAGAAAGGAGGTCTCTAACCCCAGGAAGGACTGGCGCAAGAAGGTCCATACTCCTTTGTTTACCTTCTTTTTTTCCCCTGGAAGCTCTAGACCTATTCCAATCTGCTCAGGCATGAGATTATGACTGCCTGAGGTCCAGGTATAGGGAAAACAAGAGGAAATATGTACCTGTTGAACAGCTGAACAGAATTCTATTCCCTGCCCTGTTTTCAGGCCAGCTCAAGGGTTCCCTCCTCCAAGAAGCCTTCACCAAATCGAATCTCTTAATTTAGATGAGTTACTCGCTTAGCATTTCTATTCATTGCTCTTACTATCTCAAGTCTCTAATAATTGTTCACATCAGTTTTCTCCCCACACTATACTGAGATCCTGTCGGACTCTGCGTTCATACAGCTTTTGCCTACTCAGACAGTTCTTACTCAGCTGTTTCTTCTCCAACCCAAAAGCCGCGCCAGTCGAATCCATTTTCTGTTGGCTTTATCTATTACCAAGAGCTTATATGTTTGGCATTTTGATTGGCCCATTTTGTGTTGACTGTCCCCCCCCTCTGAGAGGCTCCTGGACTTGGGTTTCCCCCAGGTGTATTCCCTCCCTCCTCCTTGGTTCCGCCCTTGGTTCCGCCTTTCCCACACACTACCTCTTCTGTTTTTACCTCCACTTTCTTCCTATTGGCTGCTTTAGTCCTTCAGAGTTGGAGCTTTGGGCTGATGATTGGCTTCTCTGAACGCCCATTGTGCCCGCCCTCATACCACGTGGTATTCCTAGCGCTAATTGGGCAATTCCACCAGCTCTTTTTTTTTTCAAGGATTAACGATTGATTGGCTGTCCTGAGGGAGGGCTTGAGGTGAGGGGCGGAGCTAACTAAACCCCGCCCCAAACTCCTCTGCCCGGCGGGGCGGGCGTTTCAGTCGCTCGCGGCCAGGGAGCCTAGAGGCGCTCCCAGCTGCCCTCTTTGCCTCTCCGGCCGGATCATCCTCCTGGCCCCGCCGAACAAGCCGGGGGAGCGACCCCGTCTGCGGGGTCATGGCAGTAGCCTCCTCGACCTCCGCCGCCGCTGGCCCCGCCGAGTCGCCGGCTTCTGTGAGAGGGACCCCCACCGTCTCCGCAGGCTAAGAGCCGCTGCCGCCTCCGAGCAGTGAGGGCTACTATGCTCCCTCTTTGCCTCCGCCTTCCCCTCCCGCCCGCGCAGGCACCCCTCTCGCTGCTCAGTCCCGCCTCAGGTAACGCCAAGAGAGCGCGTGGGGCACGAACCCAGGG